CGCCGCTCCCGCGTCTCGCGTCCCCATCCCTCGCCTGGCAATATCGATCGTCGTGCGGTCACATCTCGCTACGCGCTCGAATTGGACAGTGGGCAGGGCAAAGACGACGATTTTCGATAATTTTTTCTCGTTAACTATTGCGAAAATTGCAAAATGTTTCAGGACTTTTCTGTTCATCTCGATCCGTTCTACCTTCTCACGAGCTCGTGGACAAATGTTATAACTCACCCTGTATATTATTGTTTATTATTTCTTTAAAAAATATATTTCTTACCTGATAAATGAGACAAAAGTGAGATCCACTACAGAATTTATCAAAGCCGGAAAACATATGCATATGTTGCTAAGGACAGCCGCCCAGTATCCAACATGATGAAACATCCACGCTATATGTACGATGAATAATGTTATCCCGATTGCCAGCGAGACAGTCACATAACACAGAATATTGCGGTGGATTTTCTGATACTCTAGTTTTATGCCCAATGCTTGTAAGGTACTGTCCGCTATACTTGACCTCTTAATTATGTTATTTGTCTTCTTCAAGTATTGAAATTAATTAATAGATTAGTAAATTTATTCAACAATATATAATTTATTCGGAGACATGTCATGATATAAAAGAAACATAATGTATACGCATGCAAATATATATTTAACAATTCCTTAACATCATTGCAAGAATAATGTACAGAGAAGAAAGAAATTGTATATGTTAGACATATTTTAGAATTAGTTAAATCATAATGTTTTTACAATTTATTAACATTCTTTCCATGAGGTTTGTTTGACGTTTCTACATTAATTTTGCACAAAATGTTATTACGTACCTCTGATTTACACCAAAATAGAATTATAGCCAAGACGGCAACCACGATGTTGACTCCCATAACAACAAAAGAAAATATCAGAGATGCCTGAATAGGCAATTTCTGGAAGATGTAAATCTCTTCGTAAAATAAACAGAAATATCCAATTAATATTGAAATGACATAGAAACCACTTAGAAAATATCGTGGACGGTTTATGGGCATTTCAAATACACCCATGCAACACAAACAATTGAGCCATATAATAGGCATAACCGCTTGCTTCAGACTTTTCACATCCGACATCATTGTAAACCATTCACTATCAACCTAAATGGACTAATCCATTTGATTAACAAATACATATATTTATTTTACATAACACCACAAATAATATATTATATATAAGCTTACATTAAGTTTTGCAAATTTTATATGCAGTTGAATATGGTTCCAACAACAAATCTTAATTAAATGGCTGACATAGACACCAAAAGTCACCGCTTAATCGCGAGCGTAAGCAAAATGTTGTAAAGTGCGGAAAGAAAACGTGTTACACTTGTCCAATGTCTGTAAAGACTAAATTTGACTTGGTTGGAATATTAATTCTGTGTGTGTGTTTTTTTTAATGAAACCTACAGCTGTCGTGCAACTAATAGCTGATAAGCGATCTTGTTAATACATCGCCGCGTATATCATGCAATTTCATTTATTACACGTGTTTTAGGTCAATAGTGTATATTGTACTACACTTCCAATTATTTCTTTGGTTAAATATAGCTTGCCTGACTTTGCCTCACTACTGAAAAACACGTTTAACTAGCCACAATAAAAATTATAATCATGGTTCATCTCTGTCTCAGCACTTTAATGTTATTTCTGATAAAATCTATGATTATACCTTTTTGTCCTTAATTTTAATTAAATGTAGTACACATATAGAACTTTAATATTACTTTCTGAACTGTACTCATGGAACTTTCAGTGATTATATATACACGATATACAAATATAATTCAATAACATGATAACGTAAAGCAATACAAATTGGGTGTGGAAAGATTAACTGTGACTTTTACTTTATTATCTAGAAAATATAATATAATGTTTTTAATATAAAAAATTTTACAATATGATCTCGTTAATTTGACCTAAAAACCATAGTGCCAGATTAATGGATTTATCGAATAACTGGATTATATGGGATATAGGAGTTATAAATATTATAATATGAAGTCGTTATAATTAAACTTATTATATTAAGTAAAAGAGATATGTACATATTATTATGTATTACATACTAATCTTTCGTAATAAAACAATTTATTGTTTAGAAAAATAGTTTTATATTTAAAGGATGTTTATCTTTTTGCAAGAAAGTGACGAGTCGCAGTCGATTATTCGCCTCATATTCAACTGTTGGTCAATTAATGAAATCTTACGTCTTAAAATTTTATTGTAGGAGGCCGCGAAAGCTCACTAGATTATTAAATGTGTTGTATGATCGAAGAGCTAGATTAGCGAGATTATACTGTACGTACAATTGCATAATATGTTTAATAAATTTAAACGATGAAACATCATATTATTATAATTGTTGGGATAGTTGCGTTTGTTTGATATAGTGCTTTTATACTATTTGAGACGTGATAACGGATGACAGATTGCAGAAGAGAATGAGATTATAGGAGAAATAAAATTAACAAAATTTTTCTAAATGAGTTTGTATAATATTAAAAAATTTCTCTTAATTACTTAAATACGTACACTTTAACACGTTTGGAAAATTTTACTTCTTCATTAAATACATACATTTATAAAGAATAATAATTTAAATAAGTTTTTAGTATAAACTCTTTCGAATACTTCTGTTACTTAAAGTAACAATATTAATGGAAAATTGTTATTTATAATATGTTTGAATTCTCATCTCACATGTCAATATGTTATATGGATGTGTTTATTTGTATTAAAATAACTACATAAGTTGCGACCGTGGCAAAGAACTGAAAAAAAAACAATGTATGGTCTCTTATTTTTTCATTTTCAAATTTTATGATTATATTAAATACTATAGACTTACACTTTAATTTTTAATATGTGACAATTATGTTAAAAATATTGTTATTGAGAATAAATAACAATCTCGTCTAAATGATTAAGGTAAACAAATAAGTAAATAATATACCTTGCCAGTAAGAGTATTATCAATTGTAAAGAAACCTGTAGCGGTAAATTTTAATTCATTAAGCACTATTTGTTGTGCAAATTGATGAATCTGTGAAAAAATATGCATTCCAATTATACATATATTATATTAATATACATAGAGATACATTGAATTTATAGACAAACTTGCAATTTTTATCTTAAATGAATTAATCGCCGTGTGTAAATACTAATAATGTATTATGTTACGGAGAAAGAGCGTATAATTTGATTGATATGATTATCAATAATAATACATGAATAGATTTACCTCTTCCCTCATATCATCATCCATAATAGACCCTTCAATAGATTGTATAATTTCGCCGGTTTTATATGCCTGAAATAAACATAAATACCATACAATTTTGACACACAAATTAAGAAAAATTGCACGTAAGACATGCGATGTATATTATATGATATATGAAGAATTAAAATTATTATGCATAATATAATTATTGATAGATAACACCGTGCAACAAAATTTTGGTCATGATCGCGCCTCATTTTGAAACCTTTTCGGCTCACATTCTGGTGCCAAAAGAAACCCGAAAACGCCTTTCATTCCCCTAGGAAAATAGGATTCTGTCCAGGAGATCAAATTTATCATTTTTCTCACATTTCGCTACATTTCTGCTAAAAATACGATACGGCTAGTCTTGTACTGCCGGTTGAGGGTTTATTTCTAGTCAGGCTAGTAGCCAAGACTCAAACGAATCCAACAATGTACAGAAGTCGTGGTTTTTGGGCATAACCATAGACATATAAAAGATAGACTGCTTATGAGGTAGTGGGGGATGTCCTTCTGAGGGAAAAGGACAACACCAATTTATTTGGGTATCTATCTTCTTCTAGTGTACGTGATCACGTGGGCGTGATCACGTGATCACCTTCAGATCACGTCCACTAGAGGAAGACAGATACCCAAATAAATTCATGTTGTCCTTTTCCCTCAGGAGGATGCCCCCACCTAGGGTTCCACTGCCTCATAAGCAGTCTATTTTTTATATGTCTATGGGCATAACGTACTGTTAAGGGGCCATTTTAAAAGAAAAAGTAGCTCCTTCCAGCGCCTGACGAACAGACCGGGAATGTTCAAAAGTATGAGATATGTGTTTTGTGATGACAACAAAAAAACATTGGAAAACAAGTAACCATTTTACAGACTGCCAATATTAAATTGCGTTTAATTTTTGCATTTTAACAGTTGGTTTAAAATGCAAAAATTAAACGCAATTTAATATTGGCAGTCTGTAAAATGGTTACTTGTTTTCCAATGTTTTTTTGTTGTCATCACAAAACACATATCTCATACTTTTGAACATTCCCGGTCTGTTCGTCAGGCGTTGGAAGCAGCTACTTTTTCTTTTAAAATGACCCCTTAACAGTACGTTATACCCAAAAACCACGACTTCTGTACATTGTTGGATTCGTTTGGGTCTTGGCTACTAGCCTGACTAGAAATAAACCCTCAACCGGCAGTACAAGGCTAGCCGTATCGTATTTTTGGCAGAAATGTAGCGAAATGTGAGAAAAATGATAAATTTGATCTCCTGGACAGAATCCTATTTTCCTAAGGGAATGAAAGGCGTTTTCGGGTTTCTTTTGGCACCAGAATGTGAGCCGAATAGGTTTCAAAATGAGGCGCGATCATGACCAAAATTTTGTTGCACGGTGTAATCTGATTGTATGTAAAATTCATATGTATAGACTATAGAATAAATAAATCATATAACGTTCCTAGTATAAACTTGGTATTTAACTGTAAATAACTTAATTTTAAATATTGCATATAATTGTATATATTATTTTTATTATAAAAGAATAGTTTTTTATACCTCAGTTGACACACACGTGCAAAGCCAATTTATTAATATAATTTTAAATGAATAAATGCATGCCGATACCGACATGGTGATAATCTGTTCGTTGGTAACTGTTATGCTTAACTGGCCAAAAAATGCACGATACAAACAGTAAGCATTCGTTGTCACAACCGTGAAATGGACTGCCAATTCGAGCAGAAGTAGCACACAATAAGAACGATTAATGTGCCGTGCTATCCTCGTACATTCCAAATGTAAGTGTCTTTGACAGAAAAGCATTAATTAGTGATTATTTAAGTAATATTAAAAATTTTCAAATATTGTATAATATTATTTGAACGAGCTACAGAATTCGGGACATATTGTGTGTAGGTGAGTGTGAGAGGGATGGAAGAGGGCAAAAATAGACTCAATTTTAAAAAAATTATTTCTACCTATTACATTAACTTAGATGTCATATATGAATGTAAGATAAAAACAGCTAGTTTTTTAACCTATTATATAGTACTTATAATTTTATAAGGTCTTTTTAATGTTTAATCGTATTAATAGAAAATTCATAAATAAACAAGAATTATTAGTGATCTTACCTTAATGTTTGAATGAGACGCATTACCTTGTCTTTGTCGTTTTTATAGTTTGCCATTACAAATGCAACAGACGTCTTATCGTACCGATTATGAATCTTGAAGATTTTCGATTCATTTACATAAACCACTGCATTGTTGGTTAGAGTATTTATCTTTTGAAATTTCATTTGAACACAACTGCCACATTTCAATCTTAATTAGTACTTGAATACGTAAACATATTTACTTGTCCATTACAAATAATTTAAAGAGATATTATTATAATCCACAAATATTTTAGTAATCATGAGGGATTCTTAATAATTCTAGTCTTTTGCTTAAGCTTGCCATATGATATTGTTGTTATTTATTACTTTTCTATGAAACATACTACTTGCCTGATAAGTGAAGAAAAAGTGAGATCCACCACAGAATTCATCACAATCGGAAAACATATGCATATATTGGTACTAATGAGATCCCATTGTTTAACATCGCGATACATAAATGTTACATATATGACGATTAATGTTAGCATGCCTACTATCCAGATAACTACAATAACCAGAATATTGCGGAAGGTTTTCTGATACTCTGATTTTATGCCCAATGCTTCTAAAGTATCGTCTGCCATACTACTCCTCTTAATTATGTTATCCACTTTCTTCAAATTTCAAAATTTATTAATAGATTAGTAAATTTGTTCAATAATATATTTATTCGAAGACATGTAAAAAAATATATATGCATGCAACTGTATACGCTATGCTAGTTCCATTATTCTGTATATTTACTAGAATAACGTGAAGAAAAGAAAGAAGAATCTTTGTTACATAGTATAAATATGTAGGTATACTTCACGTAGTATGCATATTTCAAAATTAGCTAAATACTAATGTTTCTGCAAGTTCAGTTAATGAGGTCTTTTTATAACTTTTATTTGCCACTGCTATACTTATTTTAGGCAACATGTTATTACGTACCTCCGTTTTCCGCCAGAACTGAATTACAGCCAAGACAGCAACAAAAATGTTGACTCCCAGGGCAAAATAAAATACCACAAATTCTTGAATGAGTATTTTTTGGAAAATGTGAATTTCTTTGCAAATCAAAACAAAATATCCAGTTAATATTGTAATAGCATAAAAAGCACTTAGAAAATATCGTGGACGTTTTATAGGTATTTCAAATATACCCATGCAAAATATACAATTGAGCCACACAATGGGCATAACTGCCTGCCTCAAAGTTCTCACACTCGACATCATCTTAAAACTTTCACTGTCAATCTAAATGGGTTAATTTATTTGATTAATGAATATACTTATGCTAAATGGTGTTAATGTTTTATATATAATTTTATATTTTTTAAATTTTAGTTGCGGTTGAATCTGGTTTCTTTTGTTGAAACGATAAATTATGTAAACAACAAATCGCAGATAACTGAAATGGACTTAAATTCGTCGTTTAGTGCAAGTGTGACCAGATTGTCATAAAGGAGGAAAGTAAACGTGTTACACTTGTTCAATGTTTGTAAGGACTAAATTTGACTTGTACGGGATACTAGTCCTGCGTGTCATTTTTAATAAACCCAACAGCTGACGAGGTAACTGATAAACGATCTCGCGTGTTAGTATAATACATCGCCGCCAGTCTGCGTACATCAGACAATTTCACTTATTACGTGTAGTTCACGCCATTAGTGTATATAGTATAATATTTTCAATTATTTTATTAGGGATGTGGCATTTTCAGTCAGGCTGGATCTTGATAGTCAAACGATGAATCTAATAATGAGATTTCTATGTGATTTTATATACTTTTCCAACTCAGTAAATTGCGCGCCGATTATTTATCCGTGTTAGAACACGGCTTCTTGTCGGATAAAAAAATTCACATATTTTAATTGACTTAATTTTTGCTGCTAATAAGCGTTCTATTTATATCACTATAAAGAATTTATACGAAACGTATTATCCTAGCCAGAGTTCGAACTTGGAACGCCTTACAATCTGTGACGAACATCTTCATCTATTCAATCACTGAGGCATTTATTGCAATAATCAGAAAATAATACGAAGAACGTCTTATTTCATGTAATATAACTAATAAATGAAATAAGACTGATATGAATCTAATAATTAATTAGGGAAGATAAGCCGTTTTCAATTATTCGCTTGGTTAACTATAGCTTGCCTTCTTCGCTACTTGGAAGCACATTTAATTAGCGGCAATAAATAATTTTATAATCTAGAATCGTCTCTGACCTCGACATTTTACAACATTATTTCTAATAAAATCTATGATTGTGCATCTTTTTGTCCATAATTTGAATTTAGTATAGTACAAGTATAATACTTTAATATTACTTTCTATTCTATACTCATAGAATTTCTATCGATTGACGTACATATTCTATAAGTATGAATTGAATAACATGGTAATACAAAAAGTCATACAAATTGGCTGCGTGCGTAAAGATTGATTGTCTTTACTTCATTATCTAGAAAATATACGATTGTTGTTTATGTAAACAATTTACACATAATTACATAATATATTTTTGTATGATCAATTTAAATGATTAAATTTTCTAAAGAAGTTTTTGTAAAGAAAAGTTATCTCTAATGAACTTATTACACAAAGAAGCATGGTAAATTTGCGTTTTATCGCAGATACCATCTGAAACTGGATCATTAAGTCTTTCATCTTAATTGAGGGTAACGTTGTAATGCTACGCAACTATACGATGTGATATGAATTATACGGTAAAAATAATACCAGTAATGGAATTTTCTCGTCTTACAATTAGAAAAATTGCTTTTTATTTTTTTACGTAATTATTTTAATCTTTGACATTAATCAACTGATCAAGAAACTTTACAATATTAAAATGGTATAAATGTATAAATTCACATATATGTATATATAATTGCCCATATTATCAAAAATTCCTAATATACATGTAATAATTAAATAATTATTTCTTTTATTATTGTCAGTACCAATTTTTAAAGCGCTCCACTGCGCGTTTCCATTGGCTCAGTGCATATTGATAATATAATTGCGATTCTTCGCTTGGCTTGAATATCCTGTCTATTTTACGAAGTTCAAACAATTCTTCTCTATTCTTCCATATTCCTGAAATTAAGCAATGCATTACAAATGATTATTATAAACACAGTTATGCGGATTTAATTAATGTTTGATTATATTTTGATATAAAAGATAATAAATAATCAATTTTGTTTCTTAAATAGTTTCTTTGTATTACACTTTGCATTATCTTAATATCGAGGCAAGTTATTAGAATATATATAAATTATATAAAATTTTATATAATTATTTGTCTCTTTACAAGCATGTACAGAGTGTCTCAGAATTCACATATATGAAATGTACAATGTGATTCCTTGTGCTAGAAAAAGTAATTTCTTGCCGCCAGCAAAATTACAGCTCGGTTGTTTTTAAATAAGATCAACTAAAAGTTAATGAATGAGCGCTTTAAATTATGTATGAATTTAAAATATCGCGTCATTTATTCTATGTGCGGATTCCTATATACGAAAAAAAGGTTTTTACTTTAAATTATAAGGTAAACAAATTGTAACAAATAAAATTGTAATAAATTTTTATACCACATTGTAAACCAGCCAAGAAAGCTACTCCTAAGATGGACATCTCGACAGATGCTGGACGTTCTACTTCCAATCCTATTGAATCAGCTAACGATTGCATAACAAAATCGTTTTTGGAAACTCCACCATCCACTCTAAAAAACAATATATTAGAATAAATCAATACATTTTTATATGTAGGTACATACAAATATTTGCATTAGAAATAGCAGAAGTTAGAAGTCAATAGTAAGTTTAAATAAAGTATTCTTTTCTTTTTTATAAGAGTGCAATAAATTTTGCATTATTACTAATACAAATGCGTGAAATTTACATTTTTAAGATTTAATATCATAGTATCATTATATAATTCTTATTACTTTACTGTGCGATACGTGAAGGAAGTTTCCTTGCACAAACATTCGTACAGTAGGCGTATTCGGAAAACAAGACTTTCCAATAAAGATCGAATAACATGCTCTTTCTTTGTGGTGGGTTTCAATCCAAAGAAACCAGTTGCAGCTGTATAATCATTTATAGGTGCCTGCAACAATAAGCCACGTATAATTAGACGTAAATTTTTGGATGCACTACCATTTGTTATTTTAATTGTGTGCAAATACCTACTACATATGCTTCAAATGTTCTTCTTTTCTTCCGAGTTTTATATAGTAGGTAAATGGAAAGAATATTTTCTATTTTGTACACATATGTTATTGGAAAGTATAGTAAATATAGATTTTTCTTTTTTCTTTTTTTAAGAATAAGGACGAAAAGAAAGTTTTAGAATAATCTTTCTAATTTGACTATAAAAACGTATACCTTCTTGTGTTGAAGAAATAATTTTTTAATATTCCAATACATGAATTTTGATATCGAAAAAGTTGCTGTAATAAAACATACTTGCAATCCGCTGAATGCCGGGACGAAATATACTCCATCAGAGTCACTGACCGAGTTTGCTGCATCGGATGTTTTCGAAATATTGTCTATAATTCCTGTAGCAATCATAGATAAAAGCAACATATAATAACAATGTAGATAGAACTTTTCCTAGAAAAATAAAATTAAATACCAAAATTAAAATAATATACATATAAGTTTTTAAAGCAAAAATATTTTTATTTTAAAAACTTACACGTATATTATTTTATATAGAATAGACATTCATACAGAAATAATACAACAGACATTACATTACCTGTAATATAATGACAGTATTTTGTATTATATGAGATAACTTATTATATTTTGACCAGTAAATGAATTTATACATTTGATATATAATATTAGTATAATATCATTTTTATAATATTCGAAGAATTAATAAATTACCTATCGATTTAGCCCATTCGATTAGTATACCAGTGTCGCTTGAAGATCCTTCTGCAACATATATTAATTCTTTGCCGATTCGCCAACCGACGACTGGATAGAGTCCTGTAAATAACTTTTTAATTTTAATTTTGTTATCATTTAAAAAATAATAAATTATAATGCGTTGTGTAACATTATGTGTAAATCTAAAAAATTACCAGCAATAGATGCGTGTGGTTCTTGTCCTGTATTAACATTCACGAAAGTTCCTGTTCCCATAGTAATCTTGAAATCGCCAGGCTTAAAGCATCCTGAACCAAATAAAGATGCAGCTTGGTCAGCCATCTAATTTTATCGAAATATTATTAGGATTAAAGGAACTCATTAACTTTGACTTGTTAGGTTTTGTATATAGTGTATATTCAAAATTAACAACAATCGTTGCATTATTTAATTAAACAAAGATTTCTATTAGATTACTTACTGAGCAACAAATTGGTATTTCAACGCCAAATATATTTTTGGGCGTAACTCCGAAATTGTCTGCTGTATCAACCACTTCTGGAAAAATATTTCGTGGCAGTTTTAACATATTTAACGCCCAGTTGGCCCATTCCATTGTAAATGGATCGAAAATACCAGTAGCTGAGGCACTGGAAGCATCCATTATATGTTTTCCTGCAATAAACTAACTATTAATGAACTGTAATATAACGGATAAAAA